TACTTTTGGCATCTGGACAAGAAACATGAAACACCGAGGAACAAAATGCACCACCTCCAAGACGATACTGTGAAGCACCATAAACATAATTCAATAACATGAATCCAATCTCGACGCCAACTCCCCCCAGCGAGGGCACAAACGAAAGCCTAGACCAACCACAACATTACGAGGGAAATGTGCAGCTTATGGAAGCCCGCTTTTTGCAGCTGTGCTCGTCCATCCGGGCGCTGTACCGGTCTGTCCAGGAACTCCGCGTGCATATCACGGAGCAGCGCGTGGGAAACGGCGACAACGAGAACGATGATACTTTGGTCTTCCTGCAGGCGATCTGCGAGAACCAACAGGTCCTCAAAAAACAGCGCATTGAACTGTGCGCAATCGTCGAGGGGATGCAGAGGCTAAACGCTGATACGAACCTACCAGACGATATCCGCATCATGGTTTTCGACGTCGACGAAGAGAACCAACGAGAGCAGCACCACGACGCAAGTGAGGGCGAGAGAAACAGCCGTGGAGGCACTGGGTTATATTTGTGAGAAATTTATCGAATGGAAATAAATTGAAACAGAATGGAACGAAGTGTGAAGGCACGACACTATTTATCGATTCAGACAGGGATCCGATTTTCTATTGGCGTGCTGTTTTGCAGCCAAACGATCAACCTCTGTATTCTATTCTACGTCTGCTTCTCCTTAAATAGAGGGAGTAAAATCTGATGCGACTCGTGAGAAATAGACTCCTCGGAAATCATGATGCTTTCTGAACTGACAAGACACTTTACAGTATCTCCCAGCGGGATCGTTCCTCGTTCAAGGCGTCCTCGAGTCTGTTATTTGTTGCACCCTCTTTGGATGCGACGTTGGTAGGGTGATCAGAGTCCGTGAAAACAGTGCAGAAAACAAAATATATCGCAAGATCGCTAACTGCGAACCTCTTTTCGTTCTATAGTTAAGCGGGGAGGGTTTGGTGTTTCTCATGGCATGTTGACATAACAAGACGAAGGAACAAAACTGTAAAATTGGACATTTTGACTGGAGCTGCGTTGTTTATTGAATCAGATTGAGATCATGAGAAACATTCATATTGCGATCAATGAAAAGAAAAGTGAAGCTATTGGCGTGTTAATAGCCAATCGAGTACCGAAGCGAACAAGGCTGCACAGGTTTTCCGAGTTCACTACCGGTACTATCAACAAAAATCTTAATAAAAATTCTAGTACTGTGACGACTAACAGCACCCACCTTTATATCGGTAATTGGACTGGACTCATACATGAGGCAACGTAAACAAATCAATGACAAGACAATTGAAGAGAGCTATCGATTGATACCACTTACATTAGAAAAGGTTGAGTGGAAGTGCTAGAATCCCATGGTCAGTTGCTCCCAACCGTGTTTTTTCGATAGAATGAAAAGAACAGTTTCAGCACGCTAAATTAGCACGCTGTATCAGCACGCTGGAGGCAGGTAAAGGTCAAGACATTAGGCTCCAGTACAATTTTGTGCCCGCAGACAAAACCCTTCTATTTTGAACAAAACCTGCAGTGATACCTTGATTCACAATTTTCTACAGGATTTTGTGTACAGCTTTGTACTAGAATCCATCCAAAACAGCAAATCTTGCTTCTTGTTTCCCCCAGCTGAGCAGGTGTTGGCCAGCAGGCGCGACACGGTGTGGGGCTGGTACTAATCCTACGTAGGCCTACCTAGCATAGTTGGCAACTTCTTCAAATCAAAGTTGTCAACTTTATATTGAAGTTCATAACTTTGGTTTAATGCTTTAAGTCTTAACTGGAGAGCACTTGCGCACTCGTGAGCCCAGTTTCGATTGTTACAAAACGCGTAGTAACAAGAAGATAATACAAGGTATCATACAAGGAACGAAACCCAATGAGGGTGGTGTAACAGGTCCAGAATCAGTAAAAAATTTTCATGGCTCGACAAAGAGAACAATACACTTCATCTGGGTTCCGGATTTCAGCATCTTGTCTTTAGTGCCACATGCAACTCTAAAACTCTTCCTGACCAATCTCAGAACCCTTTTTTGCTCACTCACTTTTTCCATCACTTACAGTAGTAGTAGTTACAGTGCTATTTCAAATGAATCAGCCAATCAATTTTGCAACTTCATCCAGATCCACTTGTTCTTGTTTATTGCAATGAATTCTTCTTTATTCTGGTAGTGTAGGTAGTATGTGTGTGGTAGGGAAGAAGAGCTGCTTCTTACAGCTCTCCTGTCACCCTGTCTGACTGCTGGAGGGTGAGACAGGCCATCAGTTGAAGAATAATAGAGTGTTAGCTCCAGTTAGTA